TTGTGCAAACAAACAAGATTAGAAGAATCTACCAATTTTTAGAGCAGGAATTGCAGGGCACAAGTCCATGTGCTTCCTTATGCTGAGACTATCAATGCAAAGCTATTGTAATTATCCATGTTAGACTATATGATTGAGATACTGAAGACATAGAAATCAACAAAAGGCCAAAAATGTAACATGATTTGGAAATTTGCCGCTTCCTCTTTCAAACCAAATTGCTTGGATAAGATTATGGAAATAATTTTGTCCTCTTTAGATCTTCACTTGCTAAGATTCCATCAATTTGGTTGTGTTACACATAATGTTCCTTAGATGTAACAAATGAGTTAGTTTTTCCAGGCCCCTGATAGGAAACTAAACATTCCAGGAGGTTCAGAGGAGGGCATCAAGGGAATTACACAGCCTAGCAACAAGGTGCACGTGAGGAAGAATAAAGTGGATTAGAAGGCCACATGGGAGTTCAGGCCCCATTCCTTGGAATATTGTTCCTAAGGATTTTTCTTGTCTTTTCTACATGTTCTATGTATCTTCGTAGTGAAGTCAGTTATTTATCAAACCAGAAAAGAGTGCATGAAATAAAGTACAATAGTTATAGATCCCCTTTAAGAACCGAAATAGTCGATGTAAGCTAGGAGGAAAGTCACAAGAAGTAGAACTACTTTCAACAAAGGTTAATTCCTGATGGCGATCAGGAACTAAGAAATCGTTTGAAAAGGGTGAAATAGAAAATGAAAATTCAGATTGAGAATGTATCATATGGAGGGAACATACCTAGTAATAACATTTCTCATTTCTCATTCACAGTCAATTCGTGAAAGGAAAATTTTTCCTTTTGGATTCACAAGATTAAAAATTATGAATGAAATTACATCACATCAAAAAGTTAAATGTATAATTTGTTTACAGTCAATAAGTCTACAAAAGAATCTTTGCTACCAAAAAGTTTCAATAGCTAAAAATAAGTGTTTGTTGATGGCTTTGTCCTTGAGCAAGAGAAGACGATGCCAAGTGGCGACATGTTGCTATGGAAGTGAGCACAGCGTTCTCTAACTCTTCGGGCATGTGTCGTTGGATCAATGAAATGACATACTCCAAGAGGGTACTATCACAAGGCAATATGATTGCTCCCTCGCTTGGAAGACCAAACTCTTCTTCGGACATTCTCAAGAGCTCCCTGAAGACATTTTGACTCAGATATTCTAAGGGAACCATGAACCTTTTCTTATCAGTCGTGTACACAATAAAATGGCCTTCACTGGCAACTACACTTCTTGGATACGAGATTCTCCTATGCTTTACCAAAGCCATTCTCTGCCACTTCCTTGCCAGTTTATAAAGTTTATTTGAGATGATCATGATTAAAAATCAGAATGAGACTTGAACAAACTAAAACTCTGAGTTATAGAGCTTATTAATCTTAAGCACAACTATGAGCTGTGCAGAAGTCAGTGGCTAGCTGTGCTATATATATCCACAGGTATAGACATGATGACTTATTGTTATCATTTTTATGTTGTGTTAATTGGAAATAAGGCCATGTGATCAGTAACTGAATAGGTGGTTGGGATATCGGCCATAGATTTTGATTGTTGTTAAGCATCAACGCTGCATGTAGGTCAGTAGCACATGGTTGTTATGCATTTCTTTTCTTATACACAGAGCCACTTAAACTTAAGCAATTAATTTCCTATGAAAATAGAAATAAAACTAAATCATATGCTTATCCAAAAACCATGTTTTGATAATTTCAGACAAAAATCACTTGATAAAAGCAGGACCCAATGACTAGATATGGTCAGAGCCACAAAATCTTGCATGTTTATGTAAACCAACAAGGTTAGAAGAATCTGCCAAATTTTTAGAGCAGTAATTGCAAGGCACAAGCTCATGTGCTTTCCTTGTGCAGTGACTATCAATGCAAAACTATTGTAAGTGTCCATGTTAGACTAAATGATTTAGATACTGAACACAAACGAGACAGAGAAAGCAACAAAAGGCAAACATATTTCCATGATTTGAAATTTGGCTGCTTCTTCTTTCAAACCAACTACTTGAATCAAATTATGGAAATAATTTTGTCTATTTATTTAGATATTCACTAGCCAAGATTCAATCAACTAAGCTCATTATGCTGCACATAATGTTCCTCATATGCAACAAATGATTTTGCCAAGCCCCATTCCTCGGAATATTTTTCCCAAGGATTTTGCTTGTCTTTTCTTACTGTCCTATGTATCTTATAGTTGAATTCTGTGATTTATCAATGCAGTTACTGTGGACTAAGAAAGAGTTTATAACAATAAGTTACAGAGGTTATAGATCCTCTCTAAGAACCACAAGAATCAATATAAGCTAGGAGAGTACTCATGAGAAGTGGAACAACATTCAAAGCAGGTTAAGAAGTTAATAGCAACTGTGAGATGATCTTCTTGAAGTAAAATACAATTTACCAGATACTGATTCCAGATGAAGATCATCAGGAGTTAAGAACCTTGTTGCAAAAAGTGAAATAGAGAAGGAAAATTAAGATGGAGAATCAATTATATGGGGGGAACATAACAAACTTAGCTTCCCTATAATTAGGACTTTGGAACTGGCCAGATTCAAGAAATCCTGCCCTCTAGGCCTAGTTAAACTTTCTCTACTTTCATGAGTTTAACAAATTATATGCAGATTTTTTTCTGAGCATCATGAGTTTAATTTAGGTTCACTCATTAAATGGATCTTAGGAAACTCGAATAAAATTAAATGATTCGGTAAATTTACAGTCTGCATTTACCGGTTCAGGAAGTAAGTTACTATGAGCTACTGTAAATATTTATCAGAAAATGACAATTTTCATTCACAGTCAATTCATGACAGAAAACCTTTCATTTTAGATTTACAAGGTTAATAATAAAGAATGAAATTGCGTTTATTAAAAATACTTCATCAATAATGTATAACCTGTTTACAGTCAATATCTCTATCGTCATTTCATCATCACAATTTTCATAGCCAAATAAGAGTGTTTGTTGGTGGCTTTGTGCTTGAACAAGAGAAGTTGATGCCGAGTAGTGACATGTTGCTATGGAAGTGAGCAAAGCATTCTCCAATTCTCAGGCATGAGTCCTCGACCAATGAAATGACATACTCCAAGAAGTACTATCACAAGGCAATGTGATGGCTCCTGGCTTGGAAGACCAAACTCTTCCGCAGACATTCTTAAGAGCTCCTTGAAGACTTTTTGACTGAGGTATTCCAAGGGAACCTGAACCTTTTCTTATCAGTTGTGCACAAACAAAATGCCCTACGAGATTCTGTTAACTTTGCAGAAGCCATTCTCTGCCACTTTCTTGCCAGTTCAACAAGCCTTTTTGGGTTGATCATGATATTGGAAATATTAACTTCGACCTTGCACAAGCTACAAGTTTGCGTTATAGACTTATTTTTGTGGTCAGCTGTTACATATATATACGAGTCTGGCCAGGATCACTTATTGTTGTCTTCTTGTGTTTGTGCTGGTTGGAAACAAGGCCATGTGATCACAACTAATAGATGATTTGGATATAGAGAATATGTTTTTATTATTGTTAACATGAATACCCCATGTCGGATACCATTACTTGTTTGTTATGCATTTGTTTTCTTCTGCCATGAGTGTTGCTTTAAAATTCTTAGGGCCACTTAGGTTAAGTAATTAATTCCTAAGAGAAAATTGAAATCAACAAAATCACATGGTTATTCAAACTATGTTCTGCTCTTGTTAGCCCAAAATCCCCATGTGCTTTCCTTTTGCTGTGACTTACAATGCAAAGCAATTGTAATTATCCAGTTAGACTATATTTAGATACTGAATATGAAAGAGACATAGAAACCAACAAAAGGAAAATAAAATAACTGATTTGCAGCTTCTTTCAAACCCAACTACCAATAAATTTGTCCTCTTCAGATCTTCAATTGCCATGATTCCTTCAAGTTTTTATAATTTGTACATAATGTTCCTCAGATAGGACAAATGAGTTAGTTTTGCCAGACCCCATTCTTTGGATTTTTCCCAAGTATTTTTTTGTCTTTTCCTACTGTCTTATGCATCTTCATAGTGAATTCTGTTATTCAACAATGATTTCTAGTGAATTATGTTATTTATCAATGCACTTAATTTGGACAAGAAAGGGGTATGATGCAATAAAATACAATTTAGCAAAAACTAGGAGTGGTACAAGGACTTGAGTTTTGCCAACGTACATGAAAAATTTAGAGAATTGGGAACTTGAGTTAAATAAGAGCACAACCTTGATGCTCCAAGCATCTGCCGGCACTTCAGGCCAACACATATTGCAACTCATTCTACATAGTCAAATCATGGCAAAACTACACATTAGCTCATTTAATCAACTGTAAAACCTGGTTGTTCTAAGACTAACACAACGGTGAACTTTCCATTTTGGGAATTAGGCTTAATTTCCAAAGGGCGTGTAAGTTCAGTAGAATGAGTTTCTTTTCTCTTTCTGAGCCTATCTATGTCCTGGTAAGATTAATCCTCACTGTACTATTTTGAAGAGTTTGATATGATTCTTAAGCCAATGGTTTCCCAGAGCCTCCGGGATCAGTTTTACCAGAACTTCCTACATTTGAATCCTCATTAAGCAATTTGAGATTAAGTGCAAAATTTTATTCTTTCTACATGCACAAGAACTTTCAGAAAAGTTTCAAGGAGTTGATCCTTATTGTGTTCTATTGATAGCTTACTGATTCATACCTCATAGCTACTATTTTACCACTGAAAATTTCTTTTGAATTATCAAAAGATGTATAGTGCAAAACAATATATACACAGAAGTTCCATTCATTTACAGAACCCAATTGGGATTATAATACAATTCAGTAGCCACAAACTGAAAGTTGGCCTGCGTGTACTTAATGGAAGAAGCAGATAATGAGCAGTGGCTGGCAGTAATCGAATCAAGCAAAGCTTTCTTGAGACCTTCACTAACACCCGTGCTGAATGAGTGAGACTAATTTATCCAGGAAACTGCATCACATGGCAATGTAATAGGGCCATCACTTGATAGTCCAAACTCCTCCTCAGACACCTTTAGGAGCTCAAGGAAGATGTCATTGTTGAGATACATTAAGGGAAACACAAAGCGCTTTTGATCAGTGGTGTAGACAACAAAATGGCCTTTCTCAGCGACTGATGATTTATTAGAATTACCCGCATTCACGTCTTCCATACTCTGGCTCTTCCTCACCAGCCTGATCATGAATTTCTTAGGCTTATCATGCTGCCTATTGCCCGACACTGTAATTGGGGACTCGTGAATGGACAATTTAGAATAATTATGGAATAAATTTGTCCTCTTCACATCTTCATTCTGAGATTCCTCAAGTTTGTACATAATCTTCCTCGGACAGAACAGAATTAGTTTTGCCAGGCCTCATTCTTCAGATTTTTCCTACCATCGTATTCGTATGTATCTTCATAGTGAATTCTTTATATACAATGCACTTAATTTGACCAAAAAGAGCACATGGCAATAAATACAATTAGAAGAAAACTAGGTGATACAGGGATTTGGAGTTTTGCCCATGTACATCAAAATTTTAGACGAATTGGCTAATATTCTATAGGGCAGATGTTTTTTTCTAACATCCCACCTTGATCAGGAACTTGAACTAAATAAGAGAACAACCTTGAAGGCTCAAAGCAGCTGCCGGCCCCCTCAAGGGCATGGCAAGTTGCAACTCATTTACATAGTCAAGTCATGTCATAAAGTACTACTTTCAATCACCAAAAAAACAGTTTATATTAAGACAGGCAAGCAGCCGTGAACTTCCCCTTTTGGGAATTAGTTTAATCTCCAAAGGTTATGTAAGTTCAGCAGAATGAGAATCTTTTCTCTGTCAGAGCCTATCTTATGTCCTCTTAAGAAAATGCTCACTGGTAGTATTTATTTGAAGAGATTTCACTATAATTCTTAAAAGCCAATGGTTTTCCTGAACCTCTGGGGATAATTTTTAAGAGAACTTCCTAAATTTGAATTCCTCATTAAGCAATTTGTGATTAACTGCAAAAATATTGATTTGCTTCTAACATGTAGCACGAGATAGTACTGTAGTTGAACCACATTGACCTGTCAAGCACAAGAACTTTCAGGGAAAGTTTCAAGGAGTTTACCCTTTATGTTTTCTATTGATTCTATACTGATTCATACAAACATATTTACTATTTTACAGTGAAAACTTCTATTGAATTATCAAAAGATTTGTGGAGCATAAACTATATATACACAGAAGTTCCAATAATTTACACAATCCAGATGGGATTATACAATTCAGTAGCCACAAACTGAATGTTGGCCTGTATGTACTTGATGGAAAGAAGCAGATAATGAGCAGTGACAGGCGGTAATCGAATCGAGCAGAGCTTTCTCGAGACCTTTACTTACGCCTTGTTGAATGAGTGAGACTATTTTATCCATGAAGACTGCATCACATGGCAATATATTAGGACCATCACTTGATAGTCCAAACTCCTCCTCAGACACCTTTAAGAGCTCAAGGAAGATGTCATTGTTGAGATACATTAAGGGAAACACAAAGCGCTTTTGATCAATGGTGTAGACAACAAAATGGCCTTTCTCAGCGATTGATGATTTATTAGAATTACCCGCATTCACTTCTTCCATCTTCTGGCTCTTGCTCACCAGCCTGGTCATGAGCTTCTTGGGGCGTATCATGCTGCCTGACACTGTATATTAGCGATTCGTGAATGGATGACTTAGAATAAGAGAAGCAAGATTAAGTTAATATGTATTAAATGGTTTGAATATTGGTTAATTAGCATAATTTCTCTATATATATAGCTCGGAAGTACTGTACTTATGTGGGCAAAAGGGTTTAAATTTGTTACTCCAAAACCGGTGCTGGCATGTTGGATATATATATCGAAACATGTTATGCAACTAAAGATGCCATGAGGTTATGTCCTTATTCAACTCTCCAGGAAGCACCGAAATTTTACCTGAAGGTATAAACAAACAAATGTAGATACTTCTCATGCTAAATTATACAGTTTTAAGACCAAAAGTTCTAGGATTCTGGATGCTTATCTAAGTTTTCTTGTTAAAATTGTCACATTGTATTAGGAAACAACACCCGTACGGAATTTATCAACCTCTTTTAAAAATATTAAAAATAGATATTAACAATGTGCAGCAAATTGAACAAGAAATTATTATAGTCAGAAATAATGAAATACCAGCTGTTTGATGACTCCGGAACAAACTATGTAAATGATAAACATACAAATAAAAGCATGACCATAAAAGAAAATTAGGGTCCGTTTGCTTCATTATTCTAAGACTTTTTAGAATAATATTTTGAAAAAAATTAAATTGGGCGGGTATTACGAGGTAGGATTTAAAAATTAACAAAAATACCCATTATGTTTGTTTATTTACTAAACACCTCTATAATAAAATATTAAAAGTTAATAAAAATACCCACAACCCACTCATTAAATATGGGCAACCGGCCACCACCGCCGGAGGGTGGCTGGAGTCGCCGTATTGTCACATGACCTACTGGATCTTGCCAGTTGTGTGCCAATATGGCCTTTTTCGACCAGATCCATGGTGAATTTAGTCGGAAAATGCTAGATCTACGGCTAGATCTGGCCATTGATAGTCAAATCTGGCCGATTTGATCATCAACAAAGGCCAAAGATACGGTCATCGTTGACGACTGGCTATGGCCAAAGATGTGGCCGTCAACGGCCAGATCTTTGGCCGTAGATCTGGCCTTTTCCGGCCATATCCACCATGAATCTAGCCGGAAAAGGCTAGATCGGCCATATCCACCATGGATCTGACCGAAAAAGGCTAGATCGGCACACTACCGGCTGAATCATACCAGATTCTGGCCACCTTCCGGCAGTGGTGGCCAGAATCTGATATATGTGGGTTACTGGGGTGTTTTTGCAATTTTTAAAAAAATATTTGAGGGTATTTAGTTAAATTAACAAATTTATGGGGGTTTAAAAAAGTTGAATAATATAGAATAATATTGTGAGAATAAATCAATTTTATTATTTAACTTTATTGGGACAAGAGTGTAACAAACAGACTCTTAATTGCAAATAGAATAGCTCGAATCTCTTACTCTGAGCTAAGAGTTTATATTTATATATATTCTTGCTCAGAATTAGGACCAAGTACTAAAAGTGATGTTAGGACCAACAAAACGATAACAATTGACATGGATTGTCAAGTTGAGCTAAGTTTTTAAAAATTCTCCTCAGTTCATAAGTGATGCAATTGCCAAGATTAAACAAGTACTAATAGCATGGAATTCCAGGGCTGATGATGAAAAAAGGAATAATTCCCACTAATTGCTACCAAACTAACCACAAAAGAGAACAAGGGATAAAAAAAATGATAGAAGACTTTTATTTAGGGAAAATTAGAGAAGTTCAATAAAACAAGTTAGTAAAATTCAAGACCCATGATTTCATGTTCGAATCTTCTTTATTCCTAAGATTTAAACGGATGATCAAATGATGGGCGTTGTATTAGTCACTTACAAAAATTAGTTAAAGTGTGCACGAACTGGCCAGACCTTGTTTCAAAAAATAAAAATAAAATGTTAGTAAAACTCCAAAACCGTAGTAACAAATTTTGTTATTGCTTTCTACACACTTTTGTCCCCTGATAAAATATAAGTGGGAAAGTGGTTTCTATATAAAGGCTCTCATATGGTAAAATGAGAAGTAAACGAAGTGCATTTTCAAGCACTTGAAAATAACCGCCCAAGCCCAATATTAAAATTTGATCCGAGAACAAACCCACCGATTTGGGCTTACACGGACAAATTGTCATATTGTTTTCTTTTATCTGTTTTTCATTATTTAGTGTTGAGATTGTAAGACTTGAGATCATGGTTGTTAGTATCTTATGATATGCAATACGTATTTTATAATACGATTTATTATGCGTCGTTAATAATACATATTAGAAAGTATATTTTAAATATTTCGATACGTTAATATGTATTATACGATACGATACGTATCTGTTTGTATCTTTAAAAATATTAATACAAATCGATACGACTTCATTAATTTGAGTCAAAGGTCCAAAAAAATTTCAAGTTGAATCCAAGTCACCCAACCCGGTTCACTAAAACCTGTCCAAATTTACCTATTTTACATGGGGAAAGTGAAAAGGAAGATGTGTTGCCCATTTTGCATGATAATAATAACACAAGTAGAGTTATAGATATTGACATTGATCTTGAAAATGATATGAATGGTTGAGAGGAAATGATATAAATTCTTAATTTTATGATTAATTTTGATTATGTAATACCATAATTTAAAGTCAATAATACCACAAAATTTGTTAATTAATCATGGGAATGATATTAATTTAAAAAAAAATTATTATTATTATTTTTTTAAAAGGTTTATCCTACAATACACGATTCGAAAAATTAGGTTTTTAATATATGATATGATATATCGTTCTGACAATCATGCTTGAGACCACTACAAGAAACAAAGATTATCATAAAATGAGAGGATAGTTGATTGAAATGTAAGAGGTTCTTGCTGACGTGAAGCCTAATTTTCTAGTATAATCGTGACTTGAGACAGTAGGATTTGACCATATTTCTATAATAAATAATAATAAAAGATTTATGATAATGTGATATACATGAATTTCGGAATTATTAATTTAAACATATAGAGTTCAAAGTTCAATTGTTTCAAATTAAAAAGCTTTAAGATTAAAGAACGTTGATGGTGATAGAGATATTTGAAAAAAGATAAACACTTATATAGAGTTCGTTTTTCGAGAAAGATATGATATGTAACAAAGAATAAGTTATTATGAGTTCATCATTTAAGTTGTTTATGTGACGACAAATGTGGTAAGCAAGTAGTGGCAGTAACATCATGGAAAAAACAACATAAAAGATGAAGCTTTCTTCTCCGTTTAGGAGACTATCAAAAGAAACTTAGGGCCGGATCTATCATCTGGATGCCCCCACCCCCGCCCACTAAACTTTTGACATTAAATTTCATTTTCATACATTGACCCCCGCAACCAACCAACTTGCTTTTAAGAATGCCCCACTCTCTTAACTCTTGCCCCTTCTCTACCCTAATGGGATTGGGATTTATTAGAGTCAGTGGTGGGTCGTCCTGGCCTATGGCATGGCATGACATGACACGAAAAAAGTATGATACGATCCACGATTATGCGGGTCATGCTGTAGACCTTAAAAAAGGCATGTGGGTCAACGCAAAAACAAAAAATTATAATTTATGTTTATAATTAAGATATATTTGAAGATTTTAAGAATTTAGAAATTAATGAAAATGAAGATATATAAT